TTTCATACAGGCTGCCCACCAAGACCCCGAAGGCACAAAAGTCATCAGTACGTGAAACCAGGTTTTATTTTATGCAACCGCCCTATGCGTTGAGACTAAGGCCTAGGTATACGATGTCCACAGGTCGGAAATTAGTTATGTCGCTTGAAGTACTTTCCCCTTAGGCCGAAAAGGTAGCCACCATGTCGTTCTTCATTTGCGGGCATAGGATATATCCTCTGGTCTTGCCTCTTTTCCCTTCTCTCAGGAATGACATCGAATTCAAACTTTGTTTGCCCCAGCTGGTCTTCCTGCTGATACCTCTTTCGGTAGGCGCCGAGTCCGTATTTTTCTCTGAAGCGGAGATCCTGCCAATCATAATCGCGGTCATAATCGTAGCTCAGGGCCTGGACTGCCAGGTATATCAGTACAACAGATGCCAGCAGCATCATTTTATGAAGATAACATTGCATATAAGGTTCACGCGAACAAAGCTTATGTACCAAAAACTGGTTCCGATCGATAATTTGGCGGTCTAAGATGCACCGTTGAGTGCGCAGTTGCACGCACTCATCCGCAAAATCCAATGGACACTGTGTACGTGGGTTTGTTTATTCAGCAATTTTATCTTCTTGATTCACTACTGAAACGGCAATTTTAGTGTCATTTTTGTCTCTGTCGGTAAGAATTTCCGTCGCCGTGAATCGAAGTGGCTAAGCAACAACCAGGGCGCTATATCTTGTCCAGTGTTATGGCTAGCATCGACCAAACTCAATTTCATCGTTAGTTGAGAATGTTTGCTATACTTGCTCAATCCTTTTTGCCGACATAGGTTATTTAAGCGACCCTAGCCACCATTAACCCTAGGATCGTCTAAAACGGGGGTGGTGGTGTTGGGAGTTTTAAAGGTAGGGTCTCACCGTGGACAAACATCAAACGTCTGCAATAAAAAAATAATTAAATTACTGCCAAATCTATTCTCCTACAAAGAAGGAAGAGCGTTAACCAGGAGAGGTTTGTTGCGCGTCTGACGTTTCGCGTAGTCGTTTTGTCTAGCTATCTTCATTAAACCGTCACATACATTCGCCTACCCCCTATGTGGTGTTAAGAGCCTTCTTAACAGAGGACAGTTACCACATGGAACACTCGGAG